GGGAGTGTGCGCACCTATGCGCACGAGAGAGCGCCGAGCGATTTACGGGTCTGCGACTCTCCCGGCATTCCAGGCGACTTTCTTTGTGGGTCCCCGGGGAGCGCGCGAGAGGCTCCGTGTACGCGCCGCTCTGGAATCCCGCTTACGGTATGCGCGGAAACTTCGTCGCGCTCGCGCGCGCGACTTCATCTTTGACCACCGACCGACCGACAGCGTTCGCGGATTTATGTGGCGCCTAAATTACACCGCTGTCCTTCGGCATGAATTACCGGCGCTGTTGGTCGCGACATTATTCCAGAAGCGTGTCAGTCGCCGAAATTAAGTCGTCGAAATTACAAAGTATTAAACGCCGATGAAAGGTAAAGATAAAATATAAAGCCAAGCTAGCACGGATGTTCCTGCGCCATTTGAATATTAATAATGTCATTATTAATATTATCGTGAACAGTAGTGAGTGTTAAGTAGAGCCATTAAACTGCGTACTAATTTAGTTAGTTGGGTAAGGATTCTGCAGGAGATTGAAATTAGTAGCGAATATTTAGGACTTAAAGGTCGGTTCTCACATGGTCAGTCATGGTCATGAAAAGGTCGCAAAACCTTTTTTTCAATGAGTTTCGCGCAATGTATTTTGTATCCAGTAAGAAAATGCATCTCCTAAGAATTACTAAGAAACAAATTTTATTCGTGATATGGAATGCGTTCGAAAATGTATAAAAAAGAAAAATGTTACACCCTCTTTTTATAATTGATCATACGCGGAAGCCGCACTGAAAAAATAATTTGGTTGAATTTGCCAGACAGTGAGTAAATCAAAGGTGTTTTGATTGAAGAGAACAGAATTCCTGGTTCTTATGACCAAAGTTTGATTTTCATAACCAGAAATTCTGTTTCCTTCGACTGAAACGCGTTTAATTTGTTCACTCTGTCTAATAAATTCAACCAAACTTTTTCTTCCACGGAGAAAACAAATTTGGCTAGAGCCAAATTATTTTGCTATCCATATATCCAGCAAGTAGCAGTTAATACTCTGAACAAATCTTTCTGCTGTTCAAACAAATTTCCTCTACTGTCAATATATTAACAAATAATTTACTGTTCTAGCCAATTTGTTTTCTCAGTGTGCACGTTTGTTCGTCCGAAAAAAATTCGATACGTTCGCAATGAACACGAGAGACAATTTCACCCTGCCACAACATAATATTAATAATGACATTATTAATATTCAAATGGCACTAGAACGATCCGTATTCGGTTCTTCATGGTCATATATATATATATATATATATATGTTCTATCTTTAAGTCGCGAAACGATAACGTGCGACAATACCTCAAATAGCTCAAATAGTGGCCGAAAACGTTTGTGGGGGTTTCGTTTTTATCAGCATCAGAAGCGCGTTAAAGTGAGCCCATTATTCTCTGTGCATAGCATCTCGCGGAAAGTGAAACGCGCGCGCGGAAAGTCCGCGGGTGAAGTCAATAAAAGCATACTTCGCTCATATGTATCGGTCGCATTGGACCGATCGATAGACGTGGAACAAAGAGCGACCGTCGAGTGAGATTCACACCGGTGACCACGGAATGATTCGGCGACGATTTCCTCGTGAAGAGCACGGTTCAGCAGAACGCGGGACCCTATCGGAAGCCGCGTGTTCGACTTCGTATCCGAAAGAAAAACACGAAATAGAGAGAGAGAGAGAGAAAGAGAGACGGTTCTAACTTGAGTGAACACGTGTTCAAATTCATTTGGTCTTGCAAGCGTACGCAAGAGAAACGTATGGCCGGCGGAGGAGGAAGCCCCTGGCCATAATTCAAGGAAGCATCCGCCTTGGCGATCTGTGGCAACATTCCGCATAGTTTTCAGCTCGTCTGTGCCGTTTTCAGCCTAGCACTATTACACGTAATTTATAATGACCACACAACGGGCGCCCGGCTCGCTTCGCGGCCAATCGAGGGGACTTATCGCCGCCGCATTTCAACGGACCTGACGTCCAAATGTTCCGACTCTCAACATAGTCTTGAGACACCGCGTACCCTCGGTATTGCTCGTCGCGATAGCTCCGACCTTCCTCGAGTCTATCGTGCTCGGTTTTCCCACAAGTTTACAGCTTCGCTCGATCCCGTCAGTACGGCGATAACCAACGTCGTAATAATACCGGGTGCGAATATGACATTTCCTCAACGATATAACGCGAAGCGGGTAGAATTCGAAGCGAATTTGGAACTCCGTTGCGAACTACAGACCAATTCGCCTTTGTGATTTCTCTCTCTCTCTCTCTCTCTCTTTCTCTCGTCAATAATTATCACAACTAAATATTTATCTATTTTGTTCGCTAACTTAAATTTATTTTTATTTATAACTTTATCTTTTTTCTTTGTTTTTTCTTGCTTTTAAATTATCATTTTTGTCTCTCTCTAATATAATTTTAATTTAATTGAAGTAATATAATTTCTTTCCTTTGACTTTATCATGTAGCTTACTTGTCCTTAGAGGGCTTGCCCTAGGATGAAGTAAACGCTGTTCTCTCCCTTCCTCTCTCTCTCTCTCTCTTTTGCTACCCGATCCTGTTTCTCCTGGTTCTCGCGTTGACTCGCGCACATGCTTTCTCATCTATCGTATTCGTTCTTCACATGATATTTGCTATATCTCATATTTCTGCAATCGTTTCTTTTATTTTTTGTTGATATTTTTAATTTTTATTCGACTCTGTACACTTTGACCCCTTTAAGCTGATATATTTACTTATCGTATTCTTTACTGCGCCTTTAGAAGATAATCTCAGGGCTGATAAACGTGATTCTCCCTCTATCTTTTTCCCTTTTAAAATCAACGTGACGTTTGTAACGTTTCGGCGAGTCGAGGGGAAATGACGGGCGCGCTATGCGAGTGTTATCTTTCGGTGCAATTTGTAAGTGCCATCGGCCAACCTTCCCGGGCGCGAATTCCCGGCGCGGCGCGCCTTGCCCCTCCGGCTGGAATAGCTCGACGCGCTACGGTGCGCTAGTTAGAAGAGGGGGAGGGACCCCCTCGGGTCAGAAATTCATCGCGACATTCCGCGTAATCTCGCGTCGGCCGCGTTTGTTTTCGGCAACACGCATGCACGTACGTACGGCACGGTTCCGTGCGCGCGCGATTTAGAATACTCCGCGCGCGTGAAATCGCCGCTTCGCTCGCCGGGATATTGTCAGGATTACCTCCTCGCCGCGCGAGAGCGGTCTCCTATCGCGAGCGGAAACACGCTCTTCCGTGGATTTCGGCCGCGCGCAATGTCACAGCGGAGCCGCTCGACGTGTAAATTTATGCGGGTTATAATTCACGCACGTCCGACTGCGTCTGCGGACCTCGTCCGCGGACTCCGTTCGTCCTCATTCGTGGTATCACCGGTGAAATTTAAGGATCCGACAATGCGCGGATGATAAAAAAGACACGAGGGAAGTGTATAAAAACACTCGTCGCTCGATCCTTATGCGTCTCGCCTGGTCTCGCTTTTGGTCGCGGAGCGAGTCGTCGATCGATCGAGAGAGAGAGAGAGATGGACGGAAAATTCCATTCGGGGATTCTATTCTCTCGAAAAATCGGAGGAAATCGGAATCCTCGGACGAAAAGCGGGATCGCGGCGACCCCGACCGCGATCGATCGTCGTCGCCTCGCTGCGAGTTATGTGGCTGACAGCCAGATTCCAGACTTCTGGTGGTCACAGGGAGCGGTTATAAACGCGGTATTCGTTTAGCGTGGTCTCTCTCGTCACCTAATAGCAATAAGCGGCCCTCGCGTTGTCACCGTCGTGCCGTTAAATATCGTACGCGCCGTTTCGCTAATGCCCCGCGCCGCGTCTTAATGGTGCACGAGTGCGGCGTGATTGTTATTTGCGCGCGAGCGCGTTAATTGTCCCTCATCAGAGGTGACTCAGACACTGTCGCTCGTAATTAGCGGACTTTAGAACGTCGCTATATAGGCGACCACGTGACGGCCTCGCGGGGGTGGAAGATCTCGGAACGATGGAGATAGCGGGATATCTGGCGATCGTCCGGGTCTTAATGCGGCCAATGGTCCGTTGCGTGCGGCTCTTAATTGGCTGGCCCTCAACGAGCTTGATACTGCGGATCCGACGATAACGGCGCTCGTGGAATGCACTGTGTGAAGGATGAACGTGCAAATTGTATGAGATAATGCGCGGATAATCGTGGTAATTTCCGAGTCACCTCAATGAGTTGTTTCTCGTTAAGATCATGCGTTACCATCCGCCGCGAAGTTATAATTGTTTGGATTTTCTGCAACCTCGCGCGCCTGTCCCCTCAAAACCGCATACTTGACTCGGGCAATCACTTTCTTAAACTGCAGTAAAAAGTGGAGAAAAACTTTTCGTCAGATGACGAAATTCGTCCTTGTTTGTGGGTCATTTATTCGTAGACCTGACTAGTTCATATGACTCTTTTGTGTTTTTCCACTATTCGACAAGTATATCTCTCAATAGATATCTCTGTTTAAAAACTATGCGCTGCCGTCCTTGTAAAGTTACAACTATTTTGATTTCCTGTAACTTCGTTCCATGGTTCTTCGTCCCTTAAAACCGCGTACCTGACCAAGGTAAAGGGATTATTCGCAATAAACGAAGAAGAAAGAGTTTTCGTCAAACGACGTAAAATTTGTCCTTATTCGTGGAACGTTTATTTGGACATTGTAGAGCTGCTAGTTTCTATGATTTTTTTATCAGTATGCATCTCTCTACTATTCGACTTATTCTAGAGAGACCTATAGAGGAGAGAGAGAATATTCTATCACATTCCCCCGAGCGTTCTAAATAATTTCGCTCGCGTGAGAAAATATTATCTGCTGATCATCGATCTAACGGCGAACGCTTAGACAAGAAGTGACATTCACGATCGTCTAATTCGGCGCCACCTGCGCTTCACGGTAGTGCCGTTCTGCGCGCGCTCTCGAGCACTTATGAAACCTGCGCGGCACGCGGCTCAGCAGCCAGTCCGATTCCTCGTCGCAGTGCGATACGGTCGATAGGAGTAAAAACGCAGTACAACCACGGGTGGTTGCAGCGAATTGCAGGAACGAGGCTGCGACGACGCCGTCGCGTCGGCACGCGAGAATCACCCCCGGCGCCACCAGCCACTTTACGCGTTTCACTCCGCTCGACCTCGTCTGGTTCATTCCGTTCGTGGACGCCGACGAGATCGCGACCACGTGAACGAGAGGCAGTCGTAAACTCGGCAGTATCCCCGGAGTGTTCCCTCGTCGGGGTTAGAAGCTTAAAACCACCGACAGGCAGAGTTGAACCGTGTGCTGGTGCGTTGGGATCGTTTTCACATGGAGATGATGTTCGCCTTTCGTAACGTGCGACGACGAGGACTTTCATAAACAGCTGTCGGTCCTCGCGCGGAAGTTCCGTTCTGTTTCCGCAAAAGTCTCGACTATTTCTTTTCAATGGACCTTGTTTGTCGTCGGTCCCGCTGGCACAATAGTCGCGAATTTCTAAGACTGATTACCCGTGAACCCGGAGAACAAAGGCTGTCGCGGTGCGCAAAGAGTCTCTGACGAATCCGCCGAGAGATCGTCGGAGAAATCGGAAACGGGGCGATTCGCGACGGTCACGTGAGCTTTTTTACGCCCGCGAGCTGGCAGAGAGCCCCGCGGGGTCTCTCGCATCGATCACCCCGGGATTTCCCGACGTGTAGACGCAAGACCACCGAGAGCCCAGGGCGAGAAGAAGGTGAGAGAGAGAGAGAGAGAGTCGGCTGGAAAAAGCGCGAGGAAGAAGGTGTACAAACAAACACGCTCCAATGAACGTCGCCCGGCCGTAAATTCCCGTGCAAACAGCTACGATCACGTCACCATCGCCGTGACATTGGATCCCGTCATGCGAACTGTTTACGCGCCGAGTCGCCGACATCGCGGGCCGAGATAGCGGATTTAGCGAATTCGCGTCGCGAGAATCGGCCTTCAAGGCTGTCCTTCCTTTTCACCCACCCTCGAACCCGCCTGTCGTATATCCGAGACGCACGTTCGCGTTCTGGGGTAACGCCGGTTAGCCTAAGGTTCCCGGACTCGTGTTTCGTCAGGTGTCGGAGAGCCCCGAGTCGACGTGGGGAGAAGGAACACGCGTGAGGAGGTGGGCGGAGGGTCAACGCGGACGGAAGGACGCCGCCGCGAACAACTATTGATCGACCTGTATCTTGAAGAGGATGCTCTTCTCTTCGGCCTCGTAAGAGCAAAGTTCACGTCGCGGTCACGAGGAACGCGGGGAGGGGCGACCTCCAGTGACGACGTCGCACGTTGTCATGGAAAATCGATTCGCCACCAGCGACCACCACCACCCCACCACGACGACCACCCGCCGCAGTGCAATGACCTCCAAACCGGGAAGATCCTACAGCGTGAGGTAAGCGGCTTCGCGGTAGGGATCGCAGAGAGGGTGGAAGAAGCGAGGGAGGAGGAGGATGAGGGGAGCAGGAGGGTAAGAAGGCGTGAAGAAAGAGGCTGGTCCCCTTCGAAGAAAATAGCCGCGGCTTTACGGGGTGTCCCGACGTCTACGACTTCCACGATGTTTTTCTCTATTTCACTTCCGGCCGTGGCTTCCCGAGGCAGCGCTTTTCAAGCTATCCGCGCTCTATCTCTCGCTCTTTCTTTCCCTTCGCCGAGGGAGGTTCCCGCGACGAAATGCGCCCGCGTCTCGCCCATGGCACGAGGTCTCGTTAGGACAAGCGCAATTTGTCGTATGGACATTTCGTTATATCGCAGTATTTCAGGATCGCAGTGAGAATGCGCGCGTCGCCGCGTATTTATAGCGAATACGCTCTCTCCGCTTTATCGCCGCTGCCTCATTCTGTCACATTTCTTAAGGGACTTTCGTGGAAGACGCTTTTGACGCGTTTTCCCTCTTCGATTTTTGCTCCCTTTTTTTCCTTGCGAAGCCGATTCGGAGAAATTACGCTCGCGTGCGTACGTGCGTCTCAATGCTTCACCGCGGGGGAAATAATTGAAGATGAAAGGACTCTTGTGACGCTTACTTCGTGTCGCGCGTCTCCAAGGTCGGTTTTCCAGCCGAACGTTCCCAAGCTAAAAGCGAGGTCATCTCCGACACTGCGACGCTACATGATCCCGTAAAAATGCAAATCCCGTGCCGGGAGCGCGCGATATCTATAATCCGTACGCGCGTAAACACGACCGTCGCGAAGACATTACCGCCTGCCATCGTTGATTCCGCATTTAGAGCGAGAATAAAGGGGACCGTATTCTCATCGCGCACTCGCCGCTAAATGCAGCTGTTTGATTCCGCGACTTTGTGTACACCCCGAAAGCCCGACACTGTCCGCCGCCGCTATCGGATTTAATCCGAAATTGCGCGATCGCGTTCAATTAAATGCGTTAAATGCGAAGATGCGAGTCTCACAGCTCGTGCTTTCGTCGCGCGTCTTACAGCGAATTTATATATCGGGTCGGTGCGTGTTGAATGCTATACATGCAACAATTATTTAAATAAAAAAGCGTATCAGCGCTTTTAAACGATTAAACATTTAAAAGTGATATCACAGAATTTTTTTTTATTATATTATTTAGCAGAACATATATTAATAATTTCTACGTTAAAAAGTACTTGTTATGTCATTGTATTTGGATACTTTATGTGTAACAGCCTTTAGCATTCATTAATCTGGTGTAGAGAAACTATATTGTAATAAAAATTGCTACAAATTTTTGTAATGTTGAACTATACAAGAATTATGACTGAAATTATAATATGTGTTGTCATTTTTAGTGATATATATTTTATTGTACACACTCGCTAAAGATTACAACACAATAATTTCAGTCATAATTCCGATATGGTCCAACGTTACAAAATTTGGTGACAATTTTTACTGCAATATTTTTTCTATGCAGATGATCGAATTTGCTGTTCGATTTTTGCATTCTACTCCGATATTGAGATCGCTTTCGGGTATCGTATGACGATCGCATCAACGTGACACGCGAAACGGACGATTACTAAACGCTGTGTGCGAATCAAGATGTACATGCTTGCAGAGAGGCGAAGTGCGTTTTCTGATCTTGCATCGTTCCAGAAAAGTTCGCCGGCGGACGAGTTGTGAGACGGGCATAGTTATTATTTCGAACTCAGAAACTCCTTTGTGTAAGAGCGCGTGCGTCAGCCTTTGAATTCTCTTGGGAATTGAGATCGTGGTCCTTCGCCGAAGATCTCTCTCTCTCTCTCTTTCTCTCTATCTTTTTCACTTGGACGTGCGTAAAAAAGGATGCCTCATGCATCGGTGAATTGTATGCAATGCGAATATGAAACGTTGTATTAAGATGGCCTGTGATCGCGTGAGAAAGGTAAAACATTCGCCCTTCACTCACGGATTAAATAATTATACAGCGTTCGACGTTGGCAACCTGAGATAAAGAAAGAGAGAGAGAGAGAGGGAGAAAGAGCAAATGAAGAAACACACATTGTGGCCTGCGGGAAATTAATTATAATCAGATAATATGATTAATACATCTGATTGCGCAATTTTGACTCAAAAAACAAGAAGGGAAGAAGAGGAAAACGCGATTGCACAGTCGAGAAGGTTAACGTGGAACTGCGGACCGTCGATTCTACCTGACCGATGATTGATTAATTTTTCTCTCCTGACTGCGATGTGACTTGGTAGTCTTTCACTTGCGTTCTTACTTGACCTCAACTTGAGATCGAGAGAATATTGCGAGTATCACCGTGTCGGAACGACGTTGCGCAAAAGCAAACCGGAAAGTAACGATTGATAGTCCACCACGCCGCCCACTGGTCGTGATTGCTCGCGCACGAGCCGAAGACAGCTGGGGTGGAAGCCGTAAGAAAGAACGTTCCTCTCATTAACGGAGCATCGAGTGCGATTTTCAGCGTCGACTGATATACCACGACTTTATACCACGACCAACGTCTTGATTTACTCTCGGTTTACCTGCGCGACCGTGCCTGCCGCCGCGGATCGGAACGCTAAATTGCTTACTTTCGAGACCTTCGCGGCGATCCGAGCGGATTTCACTGTAACATCGTAATGGTAATGGTAACGGCGGGTTTCCGTCGTTTGTTCGACGCGTATGTTGGTACGACGATGTGATTTTTTCCTTTCAACGAGGCCAGCCTTACGTAACGCGAATCGAGCCCGAAGACGCGATGCGTGCAGAAGTGAGCGCGAAAGCGAAGAGTCGGATTTGACAATCCGCGGAATATCGAGGCGTGTCGCGCGTATTTGGTGCTCCGGGGACGTCGCGAACGACAGGACCGCGCGAAGCAAAATCGCGATTTGGAAACGTTGGCATCCGGTATATTTTTGAAAAATATGGCGATCACGGCTCTAAATGATTTACAATCAACATTCATATAAGAGCAAGTAAGAATCTAAAAAGCCTGTTAGACTCTTATATTCCCACTACTATGTGAACGATGATTGTAAAAATCATTTAGAGTCGTGATCATTATATCTTTTCGCGTATAAATGTGGACAGAAAAATGTACTACATTATTACCATCCGTCATTTGTTGAATTTATCAGGTCACCGTTTACGTTTTGATGTAGCAAAGCAAATAAAAAAACGAATTAATTATGATACGAACTTTGTGAAAACTAGATCACAGGTCGGCTTCTCAATGAATTAATTTACTAATGATATCTTACCATTGCATTTGGGCAAATTTTCATGTAAATTTTTCCGTGTATTTTCGTTTGTGGGGGGGAAAAAAGTGCGTCGTGCGAATCTCATCGAGAGCAGTACGGTGAGATCGATCGACGGCGGACGATGCGCCTTTATCGAGAACACGTCGCGGATTATTTTCATTATTATTGCGCATTACCGCGCGTTACGATTCAATTGGCTGCGGAGAAAGGCGTAGCGTGGGAAGCTCGTATAACGCTCAAACGTCTCGTATATTCTTCTTCTCGTGTCTCTTTTACTCGCTGCTATTACGTCCTGTGCTTCTCATCGTTCGCGGTTCATCGCCGGCACGCTGCTCCGCTTGCTGTCCGTGTAATCGAGAATTGATCTTTTGATTAGAGATTTCCTGATAGGCACAGTCAAGTTAATGGATACGCGTGACGCAGCTTACGATGAGAGAATGCGCTCCGGAAAAACGATCCGACCGTTTATTCGGGATCTTGCTGTTATACGGAGAAAAATAATTTGTTGGCACAGCAAATTTCATGCTGTTACAGCAAAATGTCTAGTTACTATGTGGACAGCAAAACGATTGGTTACTAATTGCCACTTGCTGGATTATTTTGCTGTAAGAATAAATGAGCAAATGTAGGAAAACACTATTTTGTTCTAACAGCAAATTAATATGTCCTATACACAAGGATAAATTTATTTAGCAAAACTTTTCTATCTTGGCAACAAAACTGTTTCTGTTCTAATTGCGAATAATTCGCTAATTTGGTTATGCTAACTAAATCTTATTATTGTCGCAACGAATATGCAGCAATAAGTTAGTTTTGTTACCATTGTAAAATGATTTCTTCCCGCGTAGCGAATAATATCACGATACAATTGTGCAAATTTGAAGCAAATGCATTTTACCTCTAATTGCTAAAAATTTAGCTGCAGTAATCAGCAACGACACACTGAGAAACCTATTTAGTTGACTCAAGCAAAATTCTTATTTAAATATGGGTAAATGTATATTTTAATTGTCAAAGCTAAAGTGGTTCTCTGAAGAAAAAATGAAAAAGGTTTGATTCAAAGAATTGAACCTTCGATTCAGAGAAACAAATTTTGGTTTTCACAATCAAAACATTTGTTTGCCCATATCCAAACGAGAATTTTGTTTCAATCAATTAAATGGGTTTCTCAGTGCATAAAGCTGTTCCTATTTTAGTTGCCACAGCTACATTTTAGCTCCTAAGGCTCATTCTTCCTCTCAGTGTATTAAATGTAAGCTGACGGACCTCTCTAACAGGCTTGAAATTTAATTCTCAAAAAGGTCTCGTGAGAGGGAATGGACATTAAATTGGATTTTTCCACACGAATTTTGCCTTTTATTGCGTTATTCTTAGAAGTAAGGTGATCATAGATGTAGAGGGAAACGTTATAATCCCCATATGGCGTGCCCGCTCGAAATGTATTATCAATATAATAAAAGGTACCACGCCTTCTCCCCGTTATCGTAGTAAGTCTGAGTCATAGGATGGCGAAGAAGCAATTGCCAAAGTAAACTTGCCGATAAAACCCATCTGCCACTGTAAGGAGGGTCGCGAGACGTCGATGGTATGTGCGGTGATGTAAAAGGCATCTCGAAAGAAATATATTCCGGAGTTCCGACAATTTGGAAATTATTCATTCTTCTTGACATTTCGTCGTGACATTATCGCGATGAAATTATGGGAAAGTGTTAATCGTATTTGG